GAGCTCCAGTGTCAGAACAAGGACAACCATCAATCAACCAATCAGCTGTCTGGTGTTCAGTGAAAGGAGCCTGAAGGACTCTTAGATCAGGGGGAGCAAAGTTCTCAGGTAAGGCAAGACAAAAATTAAACTGTTTGTTGTCAATGCCAGACACCATGTTTAGAGGGATAATGGGCACCACTTGGCACCAGGCCCATACCATCCCTACAGTGAAGCATGGTGATGGCAGCATCATGTGATGGGGATGCCTTTTAGTAGCAGATAGTGGAAAGGTTGAATAATGTAAAATTTCAAAAAAACAATTTCAGAATAATTGTGTAGAAATTTAGGTGATGCAGGAATCCTGATGGGTGGAGCATGAGGCACGGTGGGGCAGTGGGTAGCACAGTTGCCAAACAGCCAGAAGGTTCTGGATTTGATTCCTGGCCCGGGGTCTTTTTGCATGTTCTCCCTGGGTACTCCGGCTTCCTCCCACAGTCCAAAAACATGACTGGGAATACTAGGAATATTTAATTGGGGGTACACCTCGGTGTATGACGTCTTTAGGCTATAGGGCGGAGGTCTTCAACAGGAGGTCTGCGACCCCTAGGGGGTCCAAGGAGGTACTGCATGGGGGTCGGGGAAGTTTTGGTTGATAAGACTTTTTTTTTTTTTATTCCCCGCTGCAATTTTTTTCCACTAATTAAATGTCTTTAAATCCACATGAACATGAATCCAACAGACTGTAGTAAACAGATAAATGGAAGCAGAAGATGTCTTTCAGTCATCAATGCTCACATTCAGAGACACACAGGAGCTCTTTCAAGCTGGGCACCGTTTCATTCACAACACCTGTCCCATCAACCAGGAAGCAGGAATACTTTCATTACATGATTCCATCTGTAATAGAGTGACTATAGGACCAGTTTGATAGAACACTATTTCATACAATATATATAATTAGGGGGTCCCCGCTCCATCTCGCCATCAGTTTGGGGGTCCTTGGCCTGGAAAACGTTGAAGACCCCCGCTGTAGGGGGTTCCGGTGCTATCCTTCCCTGGGAGATGTTGAAATGTAGACTCCCTGAAACTCTATTTCCAGCAATTTGAGGTGGAGCTAACTTTTTCTCTTTGTTCCAACATTAATTTTGTCCTGATTATGGGAAGAATGTGTGCTTAACTTGAGGTGGAAATGTCATAAAGAAGACATCAGATCATTTTTAGCTACAATATTATGTTAAATTCAAACCATCAGAAAGGGTAA